ACCATTCATCTGTTGATGAACGTTTGGGTTGTTTCCCTCTTTTGATATTGCTATGACTTTGTTTTTAAGGCTGTTTTCTTTGTTTACTTCCTTTTTTAGGCAGAGAACCATAAGCTAACACCATTAACCATAGACTCATAAGAGTCTTGAGGGAAGGAGAGAGAGGGAGGAGGGAGGGGGCAGAGGCGGGGAGGGAGAGGACCCTTTCCTTCCTTCTGGGAGCACTGTTGGAGCCTCAGAGCTGTCATGACCATCTTGTGGTCTTGACACAAAGGCCAAAAGAATTAAAGAACCCCCAACCCAGAGGGCGGCCCTGCTGAACAAACTGAAGCAGCTGACGCCAGCCCCTCGTGAAGCGCACACTGCCCTGTGCTTTAAGCCACTCTCTGTCCAGTTGACTAGGGCTTTGCGGAGGAAGACAGCCTGGATGCCGTGTATCCCACAGGCTTTGAAAGAGCATCCCGGGGTTTCTCTTCAAGCCGCCTGCCGCGTGCCCTAAGGAGCAACAGAACTAGAGCTGGTGAAACGGGAGAGAATCACAGGCTCGTAGATTAGCCTTGACTTTAAAATCTTTTCTTCTGTAGCCACGTTATGACTCTTGCCACTTTCGCTCCTATTCATTCCAGCACATGTTTATGCTCTTATAGAAAGTATAACTCTTTTTTTTTTTTTAAAGATTTTATTTTTTCCTTTTTCTCCCCAAAGCCCCCCGGTACATAGTTGTGTATTCTTCGTTGTGGGTTCCTCTAGTTGTGGCATGTGGGACGCTGCCTCAGCGTGGCCTGACGAGCAGTGCCATGTCCGCGCCCAGGATTCGAACCGACGAAACACTGGGCCGCCTGCAGCGGAGCACGCAAACTTAACCACTGGGCCACGGGGCCAGCCCCTAGAAAGTATAACTCTTAAAGAGACCCAACAAAATCTGCCAGCTACGAAATGCCTTCTATGTTCCTCAGCAGCAGGGGGAGGCGAGAGGGGTGTGTTTAAGCATCCCCAGCTTTTGAGCATGAAGACCACATTGTCCTTCCTGCAGAATCTGCTTAGGAGGCTTTTGTGCGTGCTTACTTCCTGTATCGCTTTGTCAACACCCCTCTCCGTGGCAGGCATCAGCTGTTGCTAAAAACTGCCCGCTTGATGCATCCCTGGGGTTTTGCTATTCAGTTATTTTATGACGGTGTCAGTCTGATGTCTAACTTTCAGGTGAATGTCAGCTCTGGCTCCAGCCCTTGGAAAATCTGGTCTGGTTCAGGGCCTCCCTGGAACAGAGCACAGTCGCACTCCTCAAGGAGTTTATAATCCACAGAGGAAAAACATCTACAACATATGGAGCATATGTCATACACCCTGAACTGTGCTAAGAAGTTTAAATACTTCACCTCATCTATACACCTAAGCCCATGTGACTGACCTCATTCGATGCCTGGTGTCAGACACACACCACGGGTGCCTAGAAAGGTCACTAAACCAGACTAACGAGCACAAGGCACCCTGGCCACTCAGTAAATTTGTACAATTTCAGAGCAAGACCCAGTGGTGTGGTCCAGTCATGCCGTTCTCAGGTGGCTCCAGAGGAACAGTAAGAATCTGATCTGCAGCAAAGCAGACTCCACAATGGTCAGAAAGCGGAAGGCTAGGGAGTGGCACCCAGAGAGAGGGCCTGAGCACCAGCGAGGGAGGGAGCCGTCGTGGGGGTCCTCAGAGGAGGCCATGGGCATGGATGGAAGGGGAAGGAGCCTAAGCTGGTTTGGAGAAGTTTTCCTCTTAAGTTCTGAAATGCCATCTCCCCTAGAGCAGTTTCTTTCCCCAAATGTGAGGTCAAAGGGCACTGCACCTAACTCCATCAGGATATTTGTTAAAAATATGGGTTCTTACATCCTTTCTCTGACCTACCAAATCATAACTTGGGAGGCTGGAGCCTAGAATGACTCTGTTAATAAGGCATATTGGCAAACCTCATGCAGACCAAATTCAGAACCACTGCCCAGATAATGGCCCAAGTACCAAGCCAAACATTTATTCAGTCCACAAACATTTATTGTATACCTCCATGTGCTGGGAGATGAGTAAGACAAACTACCCTCATTACCATGAGCAATAAGAAAGAGAATCAGGAATACATCTATTTCTGGAACATCCTGTATTTCCAAGGTCACCAAAGTATCCAAGAAAAACTATTCTAACCATGGCTTAGGAACCTCACGGGCTCAGATTTGAACGCTGAAGAGGTCTGAATAAGCAGATCTGGAGAGCTATTCTAAGCGGCATTGAAAGATGCACCCGCTGCAAAGAGTTTTGTCTTTTTCTCTTCTACAAAAGTAGGAAAACAAAGAAATACCAAGGAAATACAATTGGGAAAATAAGACATTTATAAACTTGTTTGCAGAAATGAACAAAAACAACAGAAACTCTGTGACTGAATCTGCCCGCGTATTCTAAATCCTTACCCACTTTCCCTCTGACTTCTTCCTCAAAAGCGATATTGCCAGGCCAGGACGGAGTCGGCCGCGCTGTAAATGGTTCTGGTGTGAGCCTAGGGTAACGCGCTCGAGCAAACAAGCTGCATTCAGCAGGCACAAACGAGTCCCGTGAGGTGGCCCGCACAGTTGGGAATAAGTCTGACTAATTCAGGAAAAGGAAATATCTAACCCAAAGCATATCACTTAGATATAACTCTATAAAGCCAACGCTAATTAATCCGCCCTCTCATATGAAATGGCAAAGGAATGAACAATATTGCCAAGTCTCAAAAAGTCTTTTAATTGCACTGCAATTCCTTCCAAACCGCAGGCGTCTGAGCCTTACGTGGCCACACACCCTACACCAGCACCAGTTTGCCCTTCACGCAGAGCACCTCTCACATGGCCTCACAGCGGTGTTTTGCTGAAGCCTGGTACACGTCGCCCCACGAGCTGCTCGGAAACCAGCAAGGTGGGTCCCACTGAGCGTCACAGAAGGTCAACTACTGAACATCGGAAGTACCCGGAGCGCCCTTCAGAGTCCCCTCTGGTGCTCACCTTCCGGGGAAGTTATTTCCATTTGTTTTTCATGCTAGGAAAGGAATTGATTTGGATTAACTCTGTGGGCTCCGGGCACCTTGCCTTCCCTTTGGGAATGGTCTTTAAGTACGTTCTTGAGTTAGAATGAAGTAGGCTTTCCTTTTGATTCAAAGGCTGAAAATGAAAAGCAAGAGGAAGTAGAGTTCCCTTTAGATACAAGTTCTGGGATAGAATCCGGGACATGTTGCATGGATGTTGCTGGTGGGGCACTCAGCCTGCTGCCACTGAGGGTCAAAAGGGGTCCTGGGAAGCCCCAGCCCTGTCTACCACCCCGCTCAGGCAAAGGGCTTTGGGATCTCACTGGGATTCGAGCTCTGGGGCATCTTGTTTCCAGCCTATCTTGACCCTGATGCTGGATTTTCCATCTTCCCCAGCTGGGAGCATGCAGATGGTTCCCAACTCCCAAAGACAGGAGCCAAACCTTTCTGGGAGAGCCCAGCTGAAAAGGTCCTGACTCATGATCACATCAGCTCTGCGGATTGCCAGGTTAATTGATAGAATGAACAGTTACTGAGCATCTACTATAGGTAAGGCAGCGCTGTTCTAGGACCCTGAGAGACATGAATGAATCAAAGATTCTGTTCTCAGGAAGCTTAAGTTTGGGGTATGAGGGGCGGGAGGGCAGAGGACATGTGAATAAATGCATGTTATCATTAGGTTGATGGGGAAGGTGGCATTGATGACACTCGAGCTTTCCAAGTTGTTCATTATTTTTGGGAGCTTTGTCAACGGTATGACATTTCTGGACTTCTTTCCCAGAACAAGAGCTAGTTACGAGCCTCTCCAGGCTTCCGGATTTCATATTCTGAGGTGATAATTCTGTTTGGAAACATCCACAGATAAAGTTCACGAGACTTGAATGTCCCGCTGCTCCCCCCCAGACCACCACTGTGGAGTTGAATGCAGGGGGCAATAGATTAGACGACAGGGAACTCACTGTCTTCTTCAAATCTACCTCCTCTGCCATTATTCCCCTGGTCCCACCCCTGCCCCAACCCAGAGCTTTTCATGCAATAACTTAAAGGGGAAAACCACACAAATATGGGACCTTGTCTTGGTCAAAGCCACCATGTACAGTTGTGTTCAATTTAGTCTATGTGAATGGCGACAGTAGAGCTGTGCAGGGCACAACCTGGCAACTGTACATGCATCCCCAAAAATAGCCAGCTGGTTCTCATGCCATTCCTGGTTACGGTCTCCATACCTTGAGCTCTGCAGAGCTGGTGAGCTCCCAGCAGCTTAGGAATCCCTCAGCCTGAGGGAAGTCAGAGAAGAATAGCTCTGGGACACCTCAGATGTCCAGCTCTGAGCTGTCCTCAGGGGCTGGAGCTCAACTAGGCCTGTTGAAATTTTCTCCGATTACTTGAGTGAAATTATTTGAATTACTCCATTCTTCTGAGAATTCTTCCTTGCCCTTCCTGTCTAAAGTAACTCCCTCTGTTTTTCGCTAGTTTATACCACCCTTGTTTGGTTTCCTGTATAGTACTTATCATCATTTCTAAATAATATGTATGACTATTCACTTGAGTTTTTTCCATCCTTTCCCTCCAGACCCTGATGGCAGGCTCCACATCTGTCATGTTCACTGCCGTATTCTCAGCTGAGGACAGTTCCAGATGTGTGATAGGTATTCAATGAACATTTTTCTAATTGGTAAATGACTGACAGGAAAGGACAAAGCATGTAGACCATAAGGGTCTAGTTTCCCTTCATTCAGGTATGGATCCAGCAGAAATAACAAATGATGAAGACGAATAGTCATATAGTATGCCCAGAGAGGTTAAATAAGTCTTCAAATGTATATGTAATTTTGTATCTAGACTCTACTTAGGCCTTTTCCTCCTTTTCGTCTCATTAAAGGATCGGACTGAGTAGCCTCTGAGATCCATCTCAGCTCTAACACGGCATGACCTATGATGCGCATTTGGAGAGACCAGTCCATTTCCCATCTCTGAGCTCTGTTCTCTAAACCAGAAGCAGGAGTAGTACTGCCATCAGTCAGAAAGAGGAATGGCTTGTTTCTAAGATGGCTGGAAACAGATCAACCAGGGCATTCTTTCTGAGAAGCTTCTGTTCCTTGGTGGGACTAGCTTTGACTTAGACATACACAGCACTTCCTTCTAATATCTAAAGGCAGGATGTGGTTCTGCTTAAGTCTGTGTCCCTGGAGATGTGCAACTATGAGTGAGCTCAGAATTGATTGTCGACATCATATTCTCCCAATAACTGTCCTTGGATGGGTCATTGTTCTCGGACCACAGATGCCCCAAAGTTCTTTTCTCTCTACCTGTCCCCTGAGTATGCAGCCTCTCTCCCCACTTGTAGTAACCTATAGAATGGGAAAAAATATTTGCAAACCATATATCAGGTAAAAGTTTAATATCCAAAAGATATAAAGAACTCACTGAAACAGAGAGTAGAGTGATGGCTACCATGGGCTGAGGGTTGGGGAACCTGGAAGATGTTTTTTAAGGGTGCATTTTCTGTTCAGGCAACTCAGCATACATTTCCCCTACCTCTTGGAAAGAGAAGTTTGATTTTCATTCAAGTATCTACCTTCACCATATGCATTGGGAAAAACTGACCCTACTCCCAGCTCCATGGACGAACCTTGACTGGCTTAAACCGCAGACCTGTTAGGTGTGCTCAGAGTGGCTGGGGACACTCCTGTCTATATCATCCTGCAGTTGCAGTAAGAGGAGCAGGTGTCTTCCCTGGTGAGTTACTGGAGCTCCATCCCTGTCAGCCAGATCTCAGTTGTGGGTTCTTCTGGGAATTCTGCAGCATTCAAAGCAAAGGTCCAGAGACCAGTCCTGGAACCCCTGGATGGTCAGTTTGGTGGTAAAATCTGGACCTAGTCTCAAGGTCTGTGGGCCAAGATCAGGCAGTGACAATTCCTAGAAGAGAACAAAAAAACACCCCTATCTTACACCACTCATAAAAATTAACTCAAAATGGATTCAAGACTTAAACATAAGACCTGATACTGAAAACTCCTAGAAGAAAATGTAGGGAAGAAGCTCCTCGACATTGGTCTTGGCAATGATATGACGCCAAAGCACAGCAACAAAAGCAAAAATCAACAAGTGGGACGCCATCAAATTAAAAAGCTTCTGCCCAGCAAAAGAGACAATCAGCAAAATGAGAAGGTAACCTATAGAATGGGAGAAAATATTGAGGATGTGGAGAAAAGAGAACTCTTGTGCGCTGTTGGTGGGAATGTAAATTGGCCCAGTCACTATGGAAAACAAGTAAGGAGGGTCCTCAAAACATTAAAAATAGAACCACCATATGATCCACCAACCCCACTTCTGGGTATATATCTAAAGGAAATGAGTACAGGATATCGAAAAGATATCTGCACTCCCATGTCACTGCAACATTATTCACAGTAGCCAAGATATGCAAACAACCTAAATGTCTGCCAACGGGTGAATGGATAAAGAAGATGTGGTGTATACATACAACGGAATATTATTCAGCCATGAGAAAGAAGGAAATCCTGCCATTTGTGACAACATGGATGGAATTTGAGGACTTTATGCTCAGCCAGAGAAAGACAAATACTGTGTGATACCACTTATATGTGGAATCTAAAAAAAGCTGGACTCATTGGAACAGAGAATAGAATGGTGGGTACCAGGGGCTGGGAGGTGGGGGAACTAGGGAGATATTTTTTAAGGGTGCAAGCTTGCAACTAGCGGATAAGTAAGTTCTGGAGATCTAAGGCACAGCATAGTGATTATAGTCAACAATACAGTATTCTATATTTCAAGGTTGCTAAGAGACTAGATCTTAATTGCTCTCACCGCAAAAAAGAAGTGATAATTACGTGACGTGACAGAGGTGTGAGCTAACGCTACGGGTGACCATATTGCAGTATATGAATGTATCAAATCAACACGTTGCACACCTTAAACTTACACAACGTCATACGTCAACTACGTCTCAGTTGAAAAAAGGAAAGAAATACTAAATCCCTCCCAAAAAACCCAACCGCCTCACAAAGTAGAAAGACAAGATCAGCCAACGCCAAAAAGGCAATGAAACTAGCATATGGAGGGAGCGCAGGAGCTTTCCCGGCCACACCCCACTCACACCACTGTTAAGTCCTGGATTCCTAGTGTCTTCATTTGTATCAGTATTTACCCAGTGTTTTGTAAATGCAGAATTTCTCCTCCATTCCTTCAGTTCCTAAGGACCTTAGACTCTTCATTGACCCCTCTCTTTCCCTCATCGCACACAAATAATCCATTAATACATCCTACTGGCTTTATTTTAAATATCTGTTCCAAATACAACTGTTTCTCACTAACTCACCACTACATCCTAGTCCAAGTCACTGCCTTACCTGAACTGATACAGCACCCTGTTAAATGGTGTCCCTGAAGCCACTCTTAGCCCTCTCTATTCTCCCCATAGCAGTCAGAGTAATTATTTTAAAACTTAGGTCAAATCCTGTTACTTCTCTGCTCAAAGTCCTCCAAAGTGCCCCACCCTGAAAGTGAACTTGGAAGTCCTGACCGTGGCTTCGCAGGACTGTCCCGACCGCACTCTCCCTTCGCCCTTTCTGCTCCACTCATGCTAGCCTCGTCGCTTGAAGCCTACCATGCTCTTCTCCCAAATATATTTAAAAAACAGCTTGCTCCCTCACTTCGCTTAGATCTCTGCTCAAACACCACCTCCTTTGAAAGGAGGCCCCTGATCAGTTTATCTAAAAAGGTAATTTCTTGTCTTCCTATCCTCTTAACTGCTTCATTTTCCTTCAAAATACTTATCACTTGTTTGTTTGTCGTCTGTTTCCTACGATTGGCACGTAACTCCCGCGAGGACGGGGATCAATGTCGAACTCTGCCTTTTCCCAGTAACAGTAGAAGAGTCAAAGGGATGAATGGTCCGAGACCACAGGGCCCGTAAAGTATGAGTTTTATTACCACCTTCACCTTCTTAAATTTGGGCAAGTGGCTGAACCTCTGGCCCTGTGCTTCCTCATAGTAAGGCAAACGGGATAAAATGTTCTTCCCGAGGGGCTGGCCCCGTGGCCGAGTGGTTAAGTTCGCGCGCTCCGCTGCAGGCGGCCCAGTGTTTCGTTAGTTCGAATCCTGGGCGCGGACATGGCACTGCTCGTCAGGCCACGCTGAGGCAGCGTCCCACATGCCACAACTAGAAGAAGCCACAACGAAGAATACACAACTATGTACCGGGGGGCTTTGGGGAGAAAAAGGAAAAAATAAAATCTTTAAAAAAAAAAAAAAAAAAAAAAATGTTCTTCCCCATATGAAACAATAAAGCTCTGTCTTCCTGGCTTCATAATTCAAGGTCTGGTGCAGCATCTATTATTATTTCATCCATCCCCCAGATCTCATGAATTATGAAAATATGCTCTGGAGCTGAGAATAGTTTTATTTTGACCCTTTACTTTCTTCTTCTTTTCATATGTTAACTCACCGTTTGCATTTCTTCTCCTGTGAAATATCTGTTCATGCCTTTCGACTGTTCTTTTAAATGTCATTAGGTGTCTTTCTGATACTGAAATACAGTTCTTTACTTGTCTATAATATCTTTTTCTGGCCTGAACTTACGAAAAAAAATTTAATGTAAAATTCTATCTCAGCAATTATTTTCTTTTAGCACTTTACGTATCTCATGACATTGTTTTCTGGATCCCGTTGTTTCTGTTGAGAATTCCACTGACTGTCTTATGCTTGTTCCTGTAGAGGAAATGTGTCTTTTTTTCTCCAACTACTTTAAAGATTTTTCTCTTTGTTTTTGGTTTCCATCAGTTTTGTCATAATATGCCTAAGCGTGGTTTTCATTATATTTATCCTATTTGGATTTACAGCAATTTTTTTAATTTATGGCTTAATGTCCTTCATCAGTTTTGGAAAATTCTTGACTATTATCTCTTCAAATATTCTTCTACCTGATTCTCTCTCTGCTGATGGAATTCAGGTGTTAGGTCCGTTCACCATGTTCCACATGTCTCTTACACTTGTCCATATATTTTCCATCTGTTTTCCTCCACACTCCAGAATGGATATTTCTACTCACCTACTGCACAGCTCACTAATCCCTCTCTTTATCTGTGTCTTACTTACTGTTACACTCATCTACTCAGCCCTTAATTTCGGGTGTATGGTTTTTTTCATTTCTAAAATTTCCATTTGGTGCTTTTCTATATAGATTCTATTCTCAGTGAAATTCTTCATTTTGTTATCTATTTTCTTGAAGAATTAATGAGTTATTTAAAAGTCAATGTGTGATAATTCCTATGTCTGGGTCACTTCTTGGTCTATTTTTCTAGAGTCTATTTTTTTCTCTTGGTATGACATATCCTTCTTTACTGAACGCTGAAGATTGAGCATGAAAACCTATACTGTCTCTACGTTATATCCTGCCAGAGAAGATGCTTCCTATTCTCTGCTAGACACCGTAGAGGCACATAACCTCAACCCAGTCAGGATCTGATCTTGCTCAGGAGTTGTTTTCAGTCTTTATTAGGCTCTCTGTATTTCTAGTTCCTCCCCACTCCTGGGGATTAACCCTCCCAAGAGTCCCAGCTGAGAATCTGGGATGTTTCCTATGCTTCCTCCTTCCTAATTGGCCCTGAACTCACGCTTTGTCTCCACAGCACTGATTAAGATTCTGTTCTGGTTCAGCAGCTTTCTGTTTGTTTACCCTACAGATAATAATCAGCAAATGTCTTAAAGGAAAAGCCAGTGCAGTATCTGATCCACTTCTCTCCAGGTTCTTGGACACTTAACTCCTGGTTTTCTTGCAAACCTGGACTCTAATTTTTGTCTCTCCAGCTTTATGGGATTACTAAAAGCTCAGAAGTCTTCTCTGATGCTTAGAAGCCAAACCTTTGCCCAGGTTCTCAGCATCTTGTCCATGTCTATACTCGTAAAATATCCCAGGGAGAAAGTAGCATGCGAAAAATGGGCTTATTTCAATGAGCCTTTCTTCTTTCCAGAATCTGGCCCTTCAAATCACAGCAAGCTTGGCATCTCTCTGATGCTTTCAAATAAACATTGTTTTGTACTTTGTCCACATTTTCTAGGTGTTCCTTGCAGGAGCAATGGTCTAGTACAAGTGAAAGGCTTATCATAGCCAGAAACTTAATACACGTGCATGAAAAATCAATTTTAAAAAACAAAACAGTTTTCAGTAAAAGTATCATGTTTTACCCTCCAATAAAATAATTTCCTAAGGAACATAGGCTGACTGGATATTTTTTTAAAAAATGTATTTTTCTTGTAAAACACAGGAAAACTCCTGACTGGCAGAGGTATGTGGTGGAGCAGGTTGGAGGGTTGCTACGTGAGAAATGAGCTATAATATCCGAAAATTGCTTCAGAACAACTCATGTCTATTGAAACAAAACTACCGCTCCAAAACTTCTATGGAAAATCGCATCTTCTTTTCTCTGAAGAATTTACATGGGGCTGATTTTCCTGTTCTTGTTCTCAGTTAACAGCCTCAGTTTTGTTTTCCTCCAAGACATTCCCTCTCCAGCCTTGGGAGTAACACCTCTGCTTGCACCCCAGCGCTCTGCCACTTGTATCCACTGCTTTGCAAGTTGCTGGGGCCCTTTTAAAACACCTGAAGGTGCAGTGCCTTTTAAAAGCCAGGAACAATGTAGCCATCTGACCTCATGGATCTGCTTTCTAGGTGTCCTGAACCTGTGCATGTTTGATGTTTGGTAAGACCTGGGCGGTGGGGGGGTGGGTGGGGGTGGTGGTGACAGCTTGACAGCTGACATCAGCACAGGACGCAAGAGCGGGCTCTGCCCTCACAGGGAGAGGAGCACAGGGACCTTTTTACTCACAGCTCAGAGCTTAGTTTCTCCCTGTAGCTTTGTCTGAGCAACCTTCACAAGCTCCGTGAGAGGAACCGG